CATTGTGACTAATTTCCAAAATTTAAGTAAATTATAATATGTATTTATAATTTTGTTTTTATTTTAATGGAACTAGTTAAATTTTATAATTTTTCTTTTTTTTATACGCAACAAAATTAGCATTATATATATATATATATATATATATATATATATATATATATATATATATATATATATATATATATATATATATATATATATATATATATATATATATATATATATATATATATATATATAATAAGTGATTTAATTTTTAAAATAATTTAAACTAAATTTTGCTTTAAAACGCTTTGGGTAGACCCACTTACCAATTTCATGTTATTCTAAAAAGTAAATCGAAAATAAAAATAGAAATAGAAATAAAATTTGACATATTCAGAAAATTAAAAATACATTTAATCAAGGAAAATTTATAAAAAAAAAATGAAAGAATTACAATTAGAAGTAATCTACTGTTTAAGCCCTTGTATACTTGACGGATCTTGCTTGAGCTAGAATTAAGTCCAACTAAAATGTTCACATTCCCATTCCCATAGTGGTTCTTGGACTTGATCTTCATAACCATTATCACCATTCTTATCTACATTCCAATTACTACTATTTGAACCTCCTGCAACCTCTACCTCTAGAGCATAAACACTTTGGAGTCCCTCTAATTGAGAAATTTCAAACGAGCTTGATGCAAGATCCATTCTTGCATTTTGATTAGAACACGTGGCAATAAATGGATTTTGATCAGTCTTGTTAACTCGAAATTGATCATCTCTTTCATTCTCTAACGGACGTCTATCAAATGCTCGAAAGCTTCCCGATATCACATATACTCTGCACACGCTGAATTCTCTCCTTAACTATAAACATCAAAATCATAAAAAATTCTTTCATTTGATTTAAATAATCGAGTAAAATTAACGATAAAAAAATATATAAAAAAATTATTAGTTTTTAGTTAGAACAACTTTAGCGTATGATTGTTAAATCAAAATTTTATATAACTTACGTTATTAATAAAGAATTTGCATTATAGTAGAGCTGACATGTCTAAAGTTTAGTTTTCATTATTTATATAGTTAATGTTAACTATTCAATGAAAAATATATTATAGTATTCTTTAATATTAATAAAATATTTCAACAGCATTAAATTAATGGTAACTTAAATAAAAAATATAAAATGTGAGATCAAATTTTCGTTTGTTATAGACGATTATCATTAAAGTAAAAACTACTCAAATCAACTATAAATTTTTTAAATCCTACAAAACACTTTGCGCCCACAAAAAATATCTTAGTTTACCCATGTAGTAGTTTCTTAATACAAATTTGAATTAAATAATAAAAATATATAAAACAATTAAATATTTCTTGATTTAAAAAGCATATTTTTTATAAACCATGTGTATTATCACATCATGATGATGACGATAAAATGATGTAATATACCTGAGGTGTGGCAGTGTTGGATTGGTTACACATTTGAATGGCTCTGTATTCATTCATCTTCCATTTAGTTTTCCTTCCACTAGGAGCTTTCCCTATGTAGAACACCATTGTTTTCTTCACCCCAATAACTTTGTTATCAGAAGAATAAACATAACCAGGAGAACCCGTGGCCTTCCAATAACCACAACCTGTCGTTCTATTAGGTCTCCCTCCTCTAGCTTCTCTCTCTTGACCCGGCGAAAAGAAAAACCATTGCTCTTTGTCTTCGCGGCAAAGCTCTCCCGCAAGAGCTGCATAAAATAAAAATACATTGTAACAAAAAGATAACCAATTCGGGCGAACAGACTAATTCAACTGATATGTGTTAGTTGAATTATTGGTCTAGGGTTTGGATACTAACGAGAAGATTTAGGGTTTAAATTATGAAAACTAATATACTTACTTGGGAGGTTCCATGGTTCTACACCATTGATGTCAATGACCGGAATAACCCTATCAAAAGCATTACTTTTTTCTCCCTGTAGCTTGTTCTTTAGGTAAAAACTAACAAGCTCTTCTTCAGTTGGGAAGAAACGAAAACCAGGAGGAGGGAAATCTACCATTGAATTAGTTGAATTCATGTATCTTTTTACTCATTAAAAGTTTTCAAGTGTATTGAATATATATAATGTATCATAAGTGTATAAAGTCTTAGGTATAAAGACAAAAAAAATGAAGGGTGTGGGACATAGTGGGAGTAGAAAGTTTTGAGTTTGGGATAGAGGGTAGAAACTTCCACACGGTTATAGGGGCAAAGAAAATGTCTTTGCAATTGCAAAACCATTTTGGTTACTTTTATCATGAGACATGCCTCTATCATTCAATTAATTTTCCTTTTGAATTAGTCATCCCAGTAGAATCAAATAAAAAAAAATTGAAGAAGTTAACATAGCTGTCACACAATAGCTAGCAATATTCATTATTATTACATACATACTTAATTATCTTATCTATGTAATCTTTCTCATTATAATATTTTGATTTTCACATAATATTGTATGTGAGTGTTGTAACTTTTAAATTCAACGTGTCAAATTTGATCTTATTGATAAAAAAATATATATCTTGTGGAAATTTTGGTGTTTTTTTTTACAATATAATAGTAAATCTAGTTCTATAGCTCACGTTTATTGTATCAATATTAAGTTATGTTGATTTAATATATTTTTTATTATACCTATTCTAATTACAAAAGAATCTTAGAAGTAGAACTAGTCAAACATGTCTCATCCACAAATCAATATAGATTCATTTATTTTTATTAGTAGGATATTCTTAATATTACTAGTCTCAAACATTTTATAAAAATCTAACTTAAATCCCGGCTAAATGTTTCTGGGTGCATCTTATTAGAAAATTTTTTATAAGCTATATTATAGAGTGATTCAAGGAATCTCTAACCCAATAATAATAATACAATCATTCATAATCTCCACCCCAACTAATCTATACAAAATTTAAGGAGAATTTTGTCCACTCGTAAAGGCTACATCTAACTCGATTGTTAGACGCGATAGCCAACCATCTCCAAAAATATAATACAATAGATTAGTATATAGACTCACCATTACAAATGTCATCATTAAATATGATATTATTCACAGTTCTCAAAATACACCAACATGTTACGAACCAGATCGAATTTATCAATTCAGATTTACATCTACCAATCAATCTTAGGAACCATACCATAGCATGTTCTCAACTCGACGTTTCGTTGATCCATGACATACTAATCTAATTAAACACCCTCATCCATATCATTTGAACTTTTAGACAGGTGAAAAAAAACGTGTATGATATCCTCATGCTCATTAAAACACATAACACATACCTTGTTATGGAGGTTAACCACTATGCCTCTTTCGACTAGATTCAAGCGAGTCGGCAATCTGTTTAGCAGCATACGCCACGTAAAAACCTTGATTTTCAGAGGAATGTTAGTCTTCCATAAGATCTCCAAGACAGTAAGAATTGGTGGCTCCAACAATATAGAATTATCAACAACAATAATATGGTTGTAGTACGATTTAACCGAAAACTATTGATTTGCTTCAAGTTGCCACAACCATTTGTCAGCAATATCTTTTTTTGGTTGAATAGGATTTAACAGAATATCCAACTCCTATAATTCTGCTAGTGACTCCCCTTGAACATCATGGTGTACACTCCTTACATTCCACTTCCAAACGCCTTCCTCCCATGTTCCCATATAATTCACAACCCATGACTTTGAAGTTGTTGAGTCGTATAAGTTTGGAAACAACAAACTGAAATTGACGTTCCCTAGCCGCTTGCAGGTCCAAAAAGGGACTGTCATACCTCGCCTTAGTTTAGATGACAACATGTTAAGGAAACAAACCTCATTATCTACATTACATATTGAAAATAGGTCACACATTCATAAAGAGTCAACACCATCATAACCCTTTTCACCATCATTCAAAACTCGTTTTGCCAAATTCCCGTATCTGAATTCAAAAAGGCGCCTCCAAAGCTCGTTACCATCATGCAAGAATTTCCACAACCACTTTGATAATAATGCCACATTAAATATACCAACATGTTTGATTCCCAACCCACCACACTTCTTGGCTTCACACAACGAATTCCAACTGACCCAAACAATGCCTCTTTTACCCATCGATCCGGACCAAAGGAATTGTCTTTGAATGACAATAATTTCCTTCACTACTTGCCTTGATGCCTTGAAGAAAGAAAGAGGATGAATGAGAAGGTTAGCTAATACTGAATTCAACAATCTTCCTATCCAAGACGAGAGCCTAGCCCTCAAACAAGTAATCACCGGTTGCCAAAAAGTGAGTATTCTATGATTACCACCACCAACAAGGCTAAGGAACTTAATTGGTAGATTTCTTGATTTGCAAAATAAAAATTGTTCCGCAGCCTATAAAAATTCTGGTTCAATGCCAACACCATATAGACAACTCTTAGCAAAATTAATCTCCATTCCTGTCACCATTTCAAAACCACGCATAATTGATTTAATATTGCCCACAGATTGGAGAAGTTTCCATAGAAAATAAGCAACATATCATCTGCGAACTGGAGGATACTAGCTAAGGTATTGCCATTAACATTAAATCCACTAAAGGTGTGCAAAGATACCATTCTCCTAACCAAAACAACCAATCCTTCCACCACAATTGCAAACAGTAAAGGGGATAGCGGATTTCCTTGTTTCAATTCTTTTGTAGCCTTGAATTCCTTTGACGGACTTCCATTAATTAATACTGACATGAAACTGTTGTATACTGCTCCTCTCATCCACCTAAACCACTTGGGACAAAAATTCATAGCCATAAGCATACTATCTAGAAACTCCCGTTCGACACAGTCGTAAGCCTGTGCAAAATCAACTTTAAACAGCAGACGCTTTCTCTTTTTTCTCCTTGCAAGATCCATACATTCATTAGCAACAAGGACACCATCAAACAGTTGTCACCCTGGGATGAATTCCGTTTGGGACGGTGATATCAGTTTATCAATAACTCAGTTTAGCCTTTTAGATAACAACTTTGAAACCACTTTCAAGATACAACCTGTCAAATTGATTGGTCTGAACTCATCAAAGCAAAGTGGATTATCCACCTTAGGCACCAACGCAATGAATGATGATACAAAGGCCTTGGGCAAGGAAGTTGTGTTAAAGAATTCTAACACACTATTTGTCACATCAGATCCCACAATCTCCCAACAATGTTTCAGAAATTTGAAATTGTATCCATCTGCGCTAGTGCATTTATTACCATCACATTCAAAGACTACTTCATACATATCCTTTTTCATGAAATCAACCTCCAACATATCCTTCTCCACTGAACTAAGCTTAACCACATCATGCAAGTCCAGCTTAGGACGCTTCACCAGTATACTTTGAAACTTCTCCTTAAAAAATTGCACAGCAGAAACCTTAATATTTGTGGGATCTTCAATCAACCGGTTGCCCCATTTAATTGTTGATATTGAGTTGTTTCTAATGCGCGACTTTAATGATGCATGAAAAAACCTGGTATTTAGGTCACCTTCCAAAGTCCATTTCACCCTTGATTTTTGGTGTATCATGCTTTCTTTGATTCTTAAGTTGCACCAAATATCCTCTTGAGCTGATAGGCATCTGGACACCATATCTACAGGTTAGCTATCATCTAGTTCTAACATCTATTTCTCAGTGTCATTTAATCTCTCAACCCCTTCTTCAATTTTTAAGTCTATCCAACCAAACACATTTAGATTTCACCACTTTAATCTTTCTTTTAGAACTTTGAATTTCATCTGTAGAATATGCCCAATAGTACCCGAAGCTTCGATTGATAACCAACTTTCCTTCAAAAACCTTAGAAAACCCTTATGGTCCATCCAACAATTAAAAATTCTAAAGGGTATAGGACTCCAATTCAAGTTTTTTTGACTTTAACCAGACGGGGCGGTGGTACAATATGTCTCTATTAGTAATCTTTTGTGACTTAAGGTTCCAACTATTGATCAAAATTTGGTTAATGCTCCTTCTTTTAAGGGAGCTGCAACACCCATGCACATTAAAATAAATTAGGTTCATGGAACCCTAATTTCTACACCCCCTTCTTAGCATAAATTTTATTGTCTCTTGCCTCCATTTCCCTAACAATTCCTTCAAAGGCTTCCTCACCTTCTATCCCCGATTTCTTAATTGATTGTGAAACCTTTAAAGGTACCTCATCCAAGCTCCTCTTACATTTTGAATTGCTTTGTGTAACACCCTTTTTACCCCATAATTAAAAGGCACATTTATTCACATCTATCAGAGTAAATTATTAAATTCAATAAAAGCCACCACAAAAGGGCGTACATTTCTCAATAACTCAAAACAAGTCAATGCTCTGTGTACAACGGGTTTTCCCAAAATATATAAAAAATTACTCAAAGGCAGCGGAACTCAAAAGGTATAATCCAAGGTTTTCCTTATACGAAAAGATAACCAAAATAACACAATTAAAACATAGACCCCAACCCGATGTTACACTATCAGAGCAAAACCCTCTAAGTTAACCAAAAGGTTAACAACTCGAAACTTCAAAAGTCCTCAACGACGTCCACGACTAAACCTGGTCCTCTGCACGTTACCCACGTGGAGGTAACATTTAAACATGCAGGGTGAGTAAAACAGTTCATAATAATCAATGTATGAAAATCAACATATAAAATGGCGTCATAGTCATATTCAACATCATCATATTCATCAATAGGCCTCCAAGGCCACAACATCATAAATTAGTCCAAATCACTCATAAATGCAAATGCAAATGCAACAAGACTCAATGCATGTGGTACCAATCATCACAACGTTTTGGACACTGGGCCATCAACCCTTCATAGATCCCCATCAATAGAATCGATTCTACTAGAGAATCGGAGCACATCAAAACACTTCACATCTGCACAATAGGATTGAAGACAAAGTAATCAAGGTCTTAAACCGAAGTCTGGATGCACATGAATGCATGATGCACACGTCACAAATCATCCTCATAATAACATCATAGGTGCATCATCATTCATCATAATCATCATCATCAAAATCATATCAGCATAGCTCATCATAATAATCACCATCATACATCATGTCATCATAGTTTATCATAATAATCATCATCATACATCATGTCATTATAGCTCATCATAATAATCATCATCATACATCATGTCACCGTAGCTCATCATAATAATCATCATCATCAAAATCATCATCATCATCATATACACATCACATAGAATTCAAAGTCATACTCATGTTAATTCATTATATTATCACATATTAATCACATAGAATTCATAATTATACTCATGGTAATCATCATATTATCGCATATTAATCACATAGAATTAACAGTCATACTCATGCTAATTCATCACAGAAATCACAGAATCAAATATCAAGGCATCGCTGCTCGCAATCAACATTTGCGAAACTCTGCTACATTCGCTGGCATGTTCGCTAGGCGAGTCTGGGAACACAATCGTTCGCTAGGTGAACAGCGCGATGACAACAAATCTCAGCTACGCACCAGAACCCAAAATCACTCAAAAAGCTCTACGATTCACTTTCCCACTGCCCCTAAAACATCCCTAAATCATCCTTAAGGTCTTACGGCGCTAAAGACACAAAACCTACGGTTCATTAGGCCAATCTCACATCATATTCACGCCCTAAATCACAAATTTCCCTATAATTACCCTGCAGGCGTCAAAGTTACTCACTATCTAATATTCCTATGCCTTCAGGGTTAGACAAATAACAAATCATGGTTTTTGGTCACGAAGGCCTAACTTTCCTTTTCCCAATGAATTCCACGGTTAGATTCGCAAATAATAGATTTAGGCCACGAAGGCCAAAGATCACTATTTCTCATATCCACCCTCAAAACCCTTAAAGCTTAAATCGACTTTAAATACATTGAAAGTTACACATGGAAAATCATGAAGGCAATACTCTCCATACCTTAATTGTCGATCAAAGCCTTCTCAAATATTTCCGGGAATCTTCCGAAGCTTTTGCCTCCAATCTTCCTTCTCAGAGCTCTGGCCTCAATTCTCTTCACGGTCTAACAAATGAATCCTAATCCCTTCATAATTTTCTTTTTGTTAAACTTATACTTGGGCCTCACAATTGGGCTTTTCCCATATTATCCTCACTAACTCCTCTTAATTGTCCAATTTGCCCTTATTTCACTTATATTTATTTTAATTAATAATAATATTAATATATTCATATTATATATTATTATTCAAAATAAATAACACAAATTCCATTAATTCCCAATATTCCACAAAACTAGCGAAAATAACTAAAATGTGAATATTCTTATTTAAATAAATTAAATAAATATTCTAATAAAATTTGGGGTGTTACACTTTGAATCACATCAGTATCAGCCAGTGAATCGCAGCATAGTACTTATCCACCCGAGTATCTTGATGATGCATCCTTCTCCTGAGTAGACTTAGGCATTGAGATTGTTATTAGATCCTTATAATCTATCACCTTATTTTTTTCCAAAGGAGGTATGAAGAAATGTTGAGTAATAAGATGAAATTCTGGTATGTAAAATCTGAAATCTGGAAATAAAATATCAATATAATTTAAATTTTAGTATAAACAAATATTCCCATAATAATCTAAAATCTGGAAATAAAATAACAGTATTCAAAACTGCAAAGTAATAGAAAAAGATGTCGAGTCATCATGATAGGACATCTTGTCCAACATCTTGTTCTTCAGTTTGTTGTTTATGTTAGGACATCTTGTCCAACATCTTACTGTTAAGTTAGTTTTAGCAAAATTAATGCCAATCTCAAAAGCATGGACTTATCAATTTCCCCCTTTGGTTGATTTTGGCTAAAATTAACTAAATAACCCTTGCACACAAATACACAAAAAGTCAGAGGAAAAAATCATAACAACAGCAGAAATAACATAGCCTCCCCCTTAATCAGTTCATTCTTCTGCAACAAGAGATTAACACTCTCCCCATCAACAACAGCCAGTGGTTAGCGATTAGTTAAATTAGTATTACTCCCCCTTTTTAGCCATAATATGACAAAGGTAGTTAACTAACTAAACATCCAAACAATAACACAAGCATAACAAGAGTTTAAAGTACAAATCAAGCACATGAAGTGCCAAAAATATCCCGGGCATTCAGCCCTTACAAAGATAACCACACAAAAAAAAAGAATAAAACTACAATCAAATATCATCTTCAGTAGCCTCATCATCCTCGTCCTCTTCTTCTTCTCCATCAAGGTCATCATCATCTAACTCAACATCTTCAGTGTTAGCCTCATCATCATCTGCTACATCCTTTTCAGCATTATCTGTACCACCAGCAACTTCAGTTCCCTTGTCCTGTTCAACTGTCAAGGCCTGTATCAACTGTTCAAGCTTTGTGTTCCTAGCTGTGCTGGACTTGATAATGGTGTCTAGATCCTTGCAAGTCTACTTTAGTTGAGAAACAATATCATCCTTTGAGGTTGCAGGAGCAGATGTTTGAATAAATGTCGAAACAATATCTGGGACATGATCCCCATCAAATAGCTTAGGTTGAAAAGTCAAAGGAGATTCCCTTTTCATTGCATAATTAGCAGACACCAATATACCAGGATACTGATCAAAAATTATACCACAGAAGAGAGAAGGAAAACAGATAGGCATCTTAATGGCAGTTGATGCTGCTTGCTTCAGAATTTAGTAAAAAATATAAGCACCAAAATCAAACTTCCTCTCTTTACCAACAACATATATGAACTTCCTAAGCCCAGCGGAGATGGTTGAGGTATGGTTGGTAGGAACCCAGTTGATAGTACCAATTCTATGAAGAATTTCATACTTCACACTAATCTTCCTAGCTGAAAGCTTACCTTTGTTGGGTGTCGCACCTCAAAAAATACGATCCTCGCGATGGACGCGAAAAAAAAGTTTGAACAGAGTCGTCACCGAACTTTATTCATTCCAAGGAAGGAATAGGAAAATATAGACAAAACCTTTAAAGAGATAAGAACATGGTTATTGCAACCAAATTCTAGGTTCGGGAGTCGATTATGCAATGGGAAGGTATTAGCACCCTCTACGTCTGTTGTATTCAATGAGAACCTCTTGATTCGATTCAAGAGTAAAGTTAGCTAGGCTGTTGCTTTTCTTCTAATACTTGCTTATTAGGGGGAAATGGGTGGTTTTAAGATAGGTTGCTCGCCAAGGATTGGGGCCCTTGTGCCTACGTACTCCCTCGTGCAATGGGAAAATCAGAGCATCGTAGTTCGTGGTACTACGATTGATTGGTGTGTGTTTTTAAACGAATGAGTGTTTAGGTCGCATTCTAACTGCTAAACATTGGCTTGTTTGCTCGCTAGGGGAGGCTGAAGCACTAGTTCATATGCGTGGAAGAAGGGACTAAACAATGTTCTTTTAGGAAAAAGTTTTAATCGCACAGGGGCGAGAAATTAGATTAATGTGTTTGTATTTTGATAGGGTGACGACCATTCGAGGCTTAAGAAAGACTCCTCAGGCCCATGTAATCGAGAAAGTGAGT